CTACGAGTGGTGTGTGGCGCGCGTGCGTGTGTGCGTGTGTGCGTGCGTGCGTGCGTGCGTGCGTGCGTGCGTGCGTGCGTGCGTGCGGCGCGAGGGTGAATGACCGACCGACCAGCGCGCGCACACCAGCAGGGCTTGCGCTACAGCCAGAGCACCGGTGTAGACGACACACACGTATACACACGCCGCAGCTTGGGTGTCGCCTGCCCAGTCAAGCATACCGATGACAAATATGGAACCCCGCTCGCGAGACGTCATTGTTCAGCGATAGCGGCAGGTGGGCGATCACGGAGCTGCGACCACTCTACCGCACCGACGAAACACGAAACAACGGGAACATTTATTTACAAAAGCCTGCCGCTGACGGCTGCGCCCTTCCTCGACCTCTACCCCTTCCTACCCACACCCACCCACACGCACGCGCGCGCGTACACACACTCACGGAGCGATAAACTTTGTTAGCGCTATGAGTTATGAGCTAGTAGGAAAACATAGGCGGGTAACATAGGTAGGCGGGGCGTGCCATGTTTGGGTTCAAGGACGACGAACTTGCGGAGAAATCATGTCGCAACTTGCAGAGTGCCGAGGTCGGCAGAGATGACGCAGCACGCATTATCCTCCCTGTGAAGACAACTACAATATATGTAACAAACATGAGTAAAGCCTAGCGCAGACCTGTGACTTTTTCATGCAACTCGACAGCGATTCTAGAATCGCTGTAAAACTTGCTGTGAAATCGCTAGGACTAATTCTGCGGGAACTACAACACGTAGCAATTCTGGTCGCTTGCGACGAGTTGCAAGAAATCAAACTGTTTTGATTTTGATCGCTCCCAATCGTTCCCAAATTGTTCTAGAATTGCTTCGAAATCGCATGTGTGCGCACACGCGTTGACACATCGACCGATCGCTTGCGGTTGCAGGTTGCAGCGACGAGCATCCAAAAATCGCAGGTCTAAGGGCGCATCTCATGAACTGGTTACATTTCTGTTCGCAATTACCGCGTCACATCTTTCATCTTCTGACATCTCATAGTATCAATGGCTTCTGAAAGGACGCCTAGATACATTTTCCAGCGCATAACCAGCGAAAGAGAGAGAGAGAGAGAGAGAGAGAGAGAGAGAGAGAGAGAGAGAGAGAGAGAGAGAG